TGCCTGCAGAGTTGCCTGCTTTTCAGATGTGGTTAGGGTTTGGCTTAGGAGCAGCATAACGTTCTTCCATGTGAGGTGTAACACCTGAGTTAAATTCTGGAAAGCTTCTATATACCTATTGAAATTGCCAGAAAATTGAGCTGAGTCTTCCTTTATTTTCCTAAAGTCCTCTAATGAGAACGGAACATGAGGTGGCCCAAAAAAGAGGAATTCTCAAATGTTTCCCCTAAAAATTTCTTATCTACTTCTGGGGAATTATTCTCTATAAGCCTGCCAGATGTGCCTGTTAAAAAACATGCACTTGTATGTTTATTGCAGCACTGCTTACAATAGCAAAGACTTGGAACCAAACAATTGCTCATCAAGGACAGACTGGATAAAGAAATTATGGCACATATACACTGTGCAGTGATAAAGTGCTGAATATTATGCAGCCATAAAAATGATGAGTTCATATCCTTTGCAGGAAACCAGAGGGGAGGACTGGAAACCAACATTCTTAGCAAACTGACACAAGAACAGGAACCAAACACTGCATGTTCTCACTCATAAGTGGGTGTTGAACAATGAGAACACACAGACACAGGGAGGGGAGCATCACACCCTAGGACCTGTAGGGGGTTTAGGGGCTAGGGGAGGGATAGTAGAGAGTAGGGGTATAGGGGAAGGATAGTATTAGGTGAAATACCTAATGTAGATGACAGGGTGATGGATGCAGTAAACCACCGTGGCATGTGTATACCTGTGTAACAAACCTGCACACTCTGCACATGTACCACAGAACCTTAAAGTATACTAATAATTTTTAAAAAGTATTAAAAATAAGCTGGGTTGATTTTACAACTCTTGCAAAGGTTTAGTAAAAATGTCATGCCTTTATGCAAAAAAAAAAAAGGTTGCTTTTATCTTCAAAAAACTGTTAAACAAGTTTCGGTGTTTTAGAGTGCCTTGCAGAACTACAAGCTGAAAATAGTCTGTTACCCACCTAGAAAAAGAAGTGAGAACAAAAGGATCCTATTAGTCTCCCCTTCTTTAATTGTGACTCAGGGTGAAGGAGAAGAGAGTGGGAGCGTCCCCTTTCTCTCTGATTCCTGGATCCAGGCACCATGTTCAATGGGCCACCCATGGTTGTAGGCATGATCCTCCAAACCATGGAACCAGATCAACTCAGTGATGGTATTACCCATGCTTTACCCACCTAGCCTTAGCATAGCTGCCTGTGTGATCTGCTTGGCTTCTTGAATCTCCAGAAAAACTGTCACTTTAGGCAAGGCTTCTTAATGGAGGCAATGTGCTAGATTGCCTGCCATTATGGCCCATGGTAAAACATTTACCCTTAGAAAATGGTTCCCTTTAAATTCTGAACTTATTGTCCCCTTACGAAGTAAATACTGTTCTAACTAGAGACAGAATAGGTACCTTAAATGAATGTAGGGACCTGACGGTGATATTTCCTGCCTTTGGGACAGTATTGACACTAACATTTGGCTATGGAAGACACTTTACTCCTAATTGTTGAAGGCAGAGTTTTTGTGTTCACTGAAGGGGGTTTACTAGTAGCACAAAAAGAGAGTGGAATTAGGAAGCTGCAGTGAAGGACCCACAATGCACCTCATGAAGAGGATTTTTATTTCCACTAGTTAGTATCATGTGCTCACCAGGGAAATTGTGGAGAGAGTGACTCTTATTGAGTCACTGTAGCATTTGCTGATATTTCCTAACAGAACTGTTTACCTGAACTGTGAAATTTCTCACACATTGTACACACAGAGACATGGCAACTGCAGATACAAAAGAAAGAAAAAATTTTACAGCAGGATAGCTAGAGACCAATTACCAACACCCAGATCAGCTGTCAGAAGCTGGCTTCAGTCCAGAAGCCACTGAATAACACCAGTGTAAGCCCTGCCCAGAAGTCCTCAGTTGTCCCAGAACTTCTCCCAGCTTCACACAATGGCTAGGAACTCCATAAAATGAAACTGATTTAAAGAGTGTCTTGAGATTAAAGGACAGATTTGAGGTTCACTCTATACTCACCACTCTGATGTTTCTATCGTGTGTTCTGATCCCAATCACAGATGAGCCCCCAAATGAAATGGCTCTGTTAACTGGAGTGTATACCCTGGTTCTTTTTCTTGGTTGAGAAAGAATTCAGGACATGGACACACACAAGGAGTGAGTTTAAGAGCAGAAAGTTTAATAGAAAAAGAAGAAGAGAGAGAAAAAAACTTCCTCATGCTGAGAAAGTGGGTTACCCAAGAGAGGGTCTCCAGTTTGGGATGGGATGCAGTTGATTTTGTACAGAGGTTTGAGGTGTTGGTTGCTTTTAGAGTCCAGGGGATTGGTTTAACCAGGTATGCCATTTACATAGCCCATGAAATGACTGGCTCTCCCACCCTAGCCTTTTATTATGCAAATTGGCCTCTATCTGGTAGTCACCATGATGCTGAGGGACTGTGTTAAGAAAAAAAAACATTCTCTTCCCAAGTCCACAAGGGGCATGATTTCAAAGGCAGGAGCTTTCCATCACCCTGCCTCCATCCACACTGCCATCCGGGAACCTAGAGTTCTTTGTCTGACTTTCCCCAGTGTGGGCTAGGTGGAAAACCCAGCTGTGCTCCTTTGTTTAAAAAGCCCACTGAAAGCTCTGGGAGAAGGGGGCTCTGTAGCCAAACTGGTATCAGAGTCAAAGATCAATCACTCCAGTGGAAGTTTGAAAGAACTCCTTTCATTGGATAAGAACACGAATGGGGTGGGAATAACTTTAGAGTTAAATTCCCCATGCTTCTTACCTATACGTATTCCTCCCTTAGATCCACTCCTACCACAGCTTAGTAGCTCTCTCTTCTTCTCTCTCTCTCTCTCTCTCTCTGCCTAATAAATTGCTTCTCTGCTAAACTCTTTGGGTTCACGATATTTATTCAAATGGTAAGCTCACCACACCTCCAGGGCCTCTTTCCCATTCCTGGGGTAAGAGAGGTCAAGGACCTGGCATATCAGATTAGGAGAGTAGGAGCGTCTTTGGTACACACCGCTCCCTCCCTCCAGCCACAATGCCTGCATATGTGGTTTTACCTGGCAGCTGACTTGATACTTGTACATGTGATGACAAGGTAAAGAGAGGGAAAACTACTGTATTGAATGTACCTGGTTTCCTGGTACAGTTGCTGGCATTTCCACATAAAAGCTTCTAGTTTGCTTATCTATGCCTTACTCTTTGGGCTTCTTTCTGTTAGAGAAGAAATAGTTTGGGGCTCCTTTTAATTTGAGGAAATCCCACCAAGAACACTTCTATTTCTTCCAGCTGTCTGAAAATAATTTTTTAATAGTTCCTGCATTAAAGTCACAGCCTGAGCTCTACATTGGCCCCTTTCAGCCACCAGTGGAGCAGCTAGGATGCAGGGCACCAAGTTTCTTGGCTGCACACAGCACAAGGACCCTGAGCCTAGCCCACAAAAACACTTTTTCCTTCTGGAACTCGAGGCCTGTGAAGGGAGGGGCTGCCCTGAAGGTCTCTGACATAGCCTGGTGACTTTTTTCCCCATGGTCTTGAGGATTAAACTTAGGCTCCTTGATATTTACGCAAATTTCTGTAGCCAGCTTGAATTTCTTCTCATCAAAGGGATTTTTCTTTTCTACTGCATTGTCAGGCTTCAAATTTTCTGAACTGTTATGCTGTTTCCTTTTAAAACAGAATGCTTTTAACAGCACCTAGGTCACCTCATGAACGCTTTGCTGCTTAGAAATTTTTTTCCACCAGGTACCCCAAGTCATCTCCCTCAAGTTCAAAGTTCCACAAATCTCTAGGGCTGAGGCAAAATGCTGCCAGTCTCTGCTAAAATATAACAAGAGTTACCTTTACTTCAGTTCTCAATAAGTTCCTCATCTGCATTTGAGACCACCTCAGCCTGGACCTTATTGTTTATATCACTATCAGTATTTTTGTCAAAGGTCATTCAAAAAGTCTCTAGGAAGTTCCAAACTATCCCATATTTTCTTGTTTTCTTCTGAGTCCTCCAAACTGCTCTAACCTTTGCCTGTTATCTAGTTCCAAAGTTGCCTCCACATTTCTGGGTATCTTTTCAGCAACATCCCACTCCACTGGTACCAGTTTACTGAATTATTCTGTTTTCAAGCTACTGATAAAGACACACCTGAGACTGGAAAACTTACAAAAGAAAGAGGTTTTTATTGGACTTTCAGTTTCATAAGGCTTGGGAGGCCTCACAATTATGGTGGAAGGCAAAAAGGAGCAAGTCACATCTTATGTGGGTGGCAGCAGGCAAAAGAAAAGCTTGTGCAGAGACACTCCTGTTTTTAAAACCATCAGATCACATGAGAACCATTCACTATCATGAGAACAGCACGGAAAACACTCATCCCTATGATATGATTACCTCCCACGAGGTCCCTCCCACAACACATGGGAATTATGGGAGCTACAAGATGAGATTTTGGTGAAAACACAGAGCCAAGTCATATTGAGGGACTGTGTTAGAGACACTTCCCGGGGCAGCTAGGGACTTTTGTTTCCACTTTTCCACCTCTGGCAGGCTAGATAGGGCCTCTGTTTTCATTTTCCCACCTCTGCCAGGCTAGGTAAGGGCTTTGTCCCTGATTTTCCACCTCTGACTCTTGGAGATGGGGGCTTTGTGATTCAAGGTTGTAAAACAGTAGCCTTTCCCATGAAGGATTCAAAGATCAGTTAATCCAGAGGAAGTTTGAAGGAATCATCTCATTGGACGAGGACATGAATGAGGAGGGAATAACTCAGGGATAAAAGCTCTAACCGCCTAAGCCTGGACTGGCACCCTCTCCCAATCCCCTTCCATGGTGGCATGGAAGCTGTATTTTTGCCTAATAAATCACACTATCTCACACTTTTTGGGTTCATGAGCTCTGTATGAGCTGCAACACTCACTGCATCACCGAGGTCCCTTTAGCCATTCTATGGGATTAGGAAGACCAGGAGCCTAAGTTATGGCTGTAGCTACTCCACTTCTGTGGTGGCCTAGCAGTTAGGACGCCTGGTTTTCACCCAGGTGTCCCAGGTTCAACTTCTGATGTGAAAAACCAGGGAATCCAGCTGCAGCTATTCCAGTTACAATATCAATATCCAATTTGAATGCATGCACAAGTGAAACAGAAAACATGTAGAACTATGTACTTAATAACATTATTCCTAGTACCCTAAAATTGCAAACAACCTCTATGTCTATTTATTATTAAAGAAATTATAATTTACTAGCATAATGATGTGTTGTATAGCAATATAAATAAACTACATGTATGCACAACAACATGGATAAAACCCACAAACATAAAAGCAGAATCCAAATAACAAAATAATATTTATTGTGAAATACAGGGGCCTGATACCCTATTTGAAAAAGAGTTTGGCTTGAACCTGCATTTTAATTGAGCTTAATAACCTAACCATAACTATAGCTGCACCAAGGTAATATTTGACCTGAACAATCTATCTTGAGCTGGAGGTTAATTGTTTCCTTGATCCATAAAATATCATGTGAACTAAAAGATTCAATTCTAAAATGAAAATATTAAATAGATGACCAGTACCTGTAGGTTCAGATGGCATGTACTATCTCAGATTTCCCTGATACCTTTCTCTACTTATGTTAACTTTTTAGTACTGCCTACAGAAACACCACAGACTGCGTGTCTTATATCACAAATTTAATTTGTTATAGATCCGGAGGCTGGGAAGTCTGAGATCAACATGTCCACAAATATGGTTTCTTCTGAGGTTTCTTTCCTTGGCTTGCAGATGGCCACATTCTCACTGTGTCCTCATGTGGTCCTGGGCCTGGGCCTGTGCCTACCTGGTATCTATTTTTGTTTCCTAAGTTCCTCTTCTTATAAAGACACTAGTCAGACTGGATTCTACCCTAATGACTTCATTTTAACTTAATTTTCTCTTTCAAGGCTCTATTTGAATACAGTCCCATTCTGAGGTTTTGGAGATTAAGGGTTCAACATATGAACTGTAGAGGACAGAATTCAGTCCATAACACTGCTGTTTTTCATCTTATCCTAAAAGAATTATTGTATGCCCACATGGAAAATTGTCTGCAATTGTTGAAAGGAAAGACAAATCAAGATGGCCTGATTTCCTGATTATTCTGCATGATGTGTTATTTATATTCAGTCATTCCTGGGTAAAGACGAATAGTTTGGCTTGTGGTTTACAGACCTGGAATAATACAATTGAAAAGTTGATGATAAAGTATAAAGGTTTTTTTTTCTCTTTGATGTCCACCTGAATGTATACATTGGTGGAAGGAGAGCTAAATAACAAGGAGGATGTGAAGCCCCATCTTGTAAGAGTCAGTTAGCCACTTTCCTCTGTTCAAATATCAGTCGAAGGAAGCAACAATAATTGCCAATTTAGGCTGATAAGCAATTGCAGAACTAAAGACAGTAGAAGTGACTATGATATTAATATAACCTATGTCTGTGTACCAAGTACACATAATGGCAAGGATCAAGGCCAAAGCTGGGCTCAGCAATATAAACTCCACTCACCCACTCTGACCCTCTTGTCATCACAGCTGGATGCCTGCTACTGCTGAGGTTAACACATAACTCCAGATGTGGTACCATTCCGTGGATGTGGTGGGGTGAATGGCAATCAGACAGCTCTCGATAGCAGAGTCATTACACTAAACACTTTTCATCATGAACAGTCAATGCTTTCTCAACATTGAAAGAGACACATATTGAGGAAATAGATGTGCATTATTTGGTTATAGTGCTGCTGGCAGGACCGTAGACATTCATAGACATGCATAATAAAACCACCTCTACTGGTTTTATTCCACAAATAATCTCTTCTTTCTAGATTATAAACCAATTTTGCACTATAGCCATGGATTCATGCCTAAAGAAATAATTAATGCTGGGGTCAGCTGGTTTGTTTGAGCAGTGGAATGCCTTACTTAAGAGTCAATTACCACATCAACTGGAATACAACACCCCGAAAGCTTGGCCTGTTATCTAAGAAAACGGCTTCAGTAATTACTTTAAACCAGAAGTCAGCTTATGGTGCCAATTTTGTCACAATATGAAAACAATGAATGCAACTAGCAATATTTTGATCACAAGGAGCAAAATAGCCTTTTGGAGACTTTTCCTTTCTTTTTGTACCATGATCTGTGGCTCACTTGATTGAGAGTCACCAGTGGCCAAAGGAATGCTTCCAATAAGGAGCACGGTAACGGCTTCATTAAATCTGAAATTGAGACTGGACTATGTATATTTGGCCTCTTATTGCTGGTTGAATGAGCAGGGTAATGAGTGTACCTGGCCAGGGAATTCTTATTACCAGTAGTAAAGTAGATTGCTGCTAGACATTACAGAAACAGAGAATATATTTTAAATTCATTGGGGTGCCTACTTTTCTTGCTCAATCATCCTGACCAGTGTGTAACTGGGGCAATAAAGACCAGATCATCAGGGACTAAACTCGTGTAGAGATAAAGGTTTGAGTCACTCTACAAGGTAAAATGCTAGTAGAACATAAAGGGAATATGAAAATCATATCAGTTGAAGGAAACAACAATAATTGCCAATTTAGGCTGATAAGCAATTGCAGTACTAAAGACAGTAGAAGTGACTATGATATTAATATAACGTATGTCTGTCTGCTGTATTAAAAGTGCAGTGGGCAGGGTGTGATGGCTCACCCCTGTAATCCCAACACTTTGAGTGAATCACCCAAGGTCAGGGTGAAACCCTGTCTCTACAAAAAATGCAAAAGTTAGCCAGGTGTAGTGCTGAAGCGTATAATCCCAGCTACTTGGGAGACTGAGACAGGAGAATTGCTTGAACCCAGGAGGCAGAGGTTGCAGTTAACCAGGATTGCACCACTGCACTCCAGCCTGGGCAACAGAGCAAGACTCCATATCAAAAAGAAAAGTACAGTGATAGTTAACATTTTAATTTGCATGTGGATATATGACTATATTACCATTATACCAGAATAATTTAGTAACCAGAGTCCTCTTTATGTCCTCTGTTACATATTTTTTTCACTGAAGAGAGGGCAATGGTAGGTGTTATGGTGCAAAAGAGGTGGACGTAACTTCATTAATCCACAGTCACCTTTGTTCTGGAGACTGACATATCTTGAGTAAATCAAAAGCCTCTCTTGCTTTCTTCTCTGGTGACTGATGGCCAAAGCAGAGTACCAGCAGGACAAGGAAGGGAGGAAGGTGAATAAAGTTGGTTCATTTGTCTCAGCATTTTCTTTGATGGCTTATCGCACTCTGGTGCTGGGCTTTGATAAAAGTTCACAGTTTACATGGAGGCTGTCTTTGTGCAATTCTCTTCTTTGTGTCATGGTGACATTTCTTGACCTCCTCCCTCTTGCTCCTTCAGATTCCTGGTGGTTAAAGCTGTGCACTGTTAATAGTTGTAGAAACTATCCGGTCAACACTGTCATAAATAGATCATGTGTTAAGCATTTCTAAAATTAACAAATTTTATTGTTTCACATGACTGATTCAGATATTAAGAATAAAATACAATATCAATAAATATGTCAAAAATAACTAGTTTTATGTTAAAATAACCACATAGCCACCCAGCGCCTCAAACAACCTCAAAAAATCTTTCCATTTTCTTCCATTGCATTTTACTTATGGACAGAATGAGTAACCAAAAGACTATTGGTGTACAAAAGAACCAGGCAAAGAAAATAGTGTCATTTTGGGGGAATGAAACTTAGCAACTAATGGCACTTTGCCAACCAAGAAGCAGATGTTTAACTATAACTGTCAACAAAATATGAATAGAAAAAAATAGCATCATGTTATGATAGTTTTAGTTTAGAAAGTACAAAATCAGAACCCTAGCATAAGCACCAAAATGAAAAACAAAGGTGTAGTGAAATCAGTCACTGTTTTTGTGATGTTTTGATGAGCCCTTTTTAAACTCAACAGTCAATGAACTTGATGGTTACTAAGATTTTTGGAAAGTTTAGAATAAAAGTTCTGGAAAGGAATAAGGGCGAAGTTCACTCAGGTGGCTAGCCTATATTAACGTTTGGAACAAAGATGGACTTTTAGTGAAAACAATCTAATAAGCAGGGCACCGGTTTGTATATCTAAACAAAAAACACTGATTTAGAAAGACATGTAATGAAGAGGGCCTTTCACCAGTAAATGTGTATCTTTCACTAGTGAATTTACTTAACGTGGAAAAACTCAAACACCTTTTACATGAAAAGTCTTCGTCCAGAGGCTCTCTATTCTTAATTTACAGATGATGTGGTGGATAAATATACAAACTTCCTTTCCTCTTGTTTAAATAGCATACTTCCCTGATGCTTCCATGGATATTGAACAGTAACTACAATTATTCCTGAAAAGGCTAAATTTTATATTTGGCTATGTATCCATGCCAAATTCACAACAGAAGTCTTACAAGTATAGTTTAGTTAGTTTTGTATTGGTATGCAATGGACATTCATTTGTTAGAATATATATATAAAATTTTGGGAGGCATTTCCAAAAAGAAATAATAATAAAACAAATTTAGGTGTGGAAATTTGTATCCAACAGCAAAACTAGCATTTTATGTGATAACTTCTGAGACTAGACAATCAGAGAATCAGTATATTTTAATCTTTATTACACATTACAAATTCACAGGTATGATTGCACGCTGTTCTCTGCAACAGTAAACAGTGTTATACTTACAGTATAGTCCCTAACAGATGGTGAAACAGGTAATGTTATCCTCCTAAGGCTAAACATTAGATTTTAAAATGTATACAAGTAAATTTCTAAAAGAAATGGAAACTGGGAAGTCTGTCTTTATACATAAACATTTATTTGAGTTTAAATTATCCAGTTTAAATGGTGGTGCAAGTTTTTTGTAAACACTGTTAGTGGTTTTAATGTTTATGTAGGTGTGTGCTTGCAGTCTTAAGGAAATTTGTTTCCATTCTGTTTAAAAAGTAAGAAAACTAACAAATTCTAGACTTAACTTTGACATGTAAGCAATTGGACCTAATAGATATCTAAGGAATATTCCACTTATTAATTACAGAATATGC